ACATTTTTATTGCTATTGTGACTTTCCAGTGTGAAGTTACCTGTAGTCTTACCTTTCCACTGGGAAGAAAAAGTATTTGGAGCCTGAAATATCTTTCTACCTTTAACTTCTACCCAAATGACCATCATATTTCTGGGATGTGATATTATCCCTTTTGAGTTACTGAGGGGAAAAAGGTCTCATTGTGTCCACTGATTCTTGATAATTAAGAGTGGGCTGTCACTGGTTATGCATGCTTTGCCTAAGAAACTTCCACGTAGCTTTTTTTACGGCAGTAAAACAGTTACAGTCTTGTTCGCTGTGGTTGAAGGGGCGTGTCAGGCAAGCTAGTTTTGGCCCGGCGCCTAACCCGTTCCCACATGTTTTTGAAGCGGGTAATCCGTAACACCTGATTGAAAACGACTGATGCGAACAAGATTGTAACAGTCTTAGCGCATGTTCCCTTCAAAAAGTGGTAAAAAACGTTCAGGAGCTGCGCCAAACTCACCTCGCCTGACACGCCCCTTCATTCACAGCGAAAGACATAATTAGTAGCCCTCCTTGTTTCCTGGTAAACGCGATAGCTTTTATCTTTGCCACTTGCGACACATATAGCAGAAGGAGTTTTGAATGTTGGTAAATTCAAAAGATTGCATATCAAAGTAGAAGTGCAGCTATCAATTCAATCCCTGTTCCTTTGAAGGCGATGTCAAGCTCGACGATGACGAAATCGAAGACAATCCGGCCTATATACCACGAAAAGGTGCATTGTACTTTTTTGATGTTCGGATGCCTCTTTTTTCCATTATTTTTCTTCACTTACTCCTGCTAAGCTCCGTCTTGCTCAGGTAGGTACTATATGCACGATTCCCGGGATGCAGAGGAAGAAGTCGAAGAGGAAAAGAGGATAAGTAGAGCTGATGGAACTTGGAAGCATGACAGGTAAAGAGCTATACTCAAGTAGGAATGTCCGTAGTTGTTAATTGAACTAGTTAGAATGTTCAGATTTCTAATTGGATGTTTTAATTTTGCTTTGATTTTAAAGCAGTGGTTCAGATTTGATGAGCGTTGGCAGCGTCCCAAAACTAAGAAGCAAATAATGACACGCTATGGCTTCGATATTCGCGAAGGGGAGACTCAGGAAGAAGCTGAACAACGGAAACGTTCGGAAGATGTCAGTTTTCTTGCTGAATTTTATCATTATTCTTTTGTTGTTTCTATTTTAGTAGATGCAGTTTTCGCCGCTGTTCCGTGTCTGGAATTAATCATGGGGTTAATGAGTTCTGGGAAGAATACATTCATTATCTTATCCAGTACTTCAGCACGGACTGCATGCTTTCTGGACTGATGTGCTACCATTGCACCTTATTTTGCCTCTACTACTGTGTGCGTACTCAGTTATTCCTCACTGTATAATTGACTTTTCAAGTTAATAGGTTAATAGTCTACCGCTAATCACTCCCTTGTTTAGCTGCTGTTATTAGAGTTCTATCTTTTGCCGAGCGCTCCTTGTAGAGAAGGCCCGATAAGACCAACAACATTGTATTCGTTTTCTCCTGTCGTCCAACGGCCCTAGATCGCCGCTAATAACCTCAGAGAGGCATTTCAAGGCTGTTGGTGCCTAACTGAATTTAACGTCATACGAATAGAATTTACGGAGTTGAAGTTGGTTCACGTAGTCCGAGCTGCTTTCCCTTTAAGGCTTGAGGAGAAGTCCTCATCTCCATTACGGTAATTTAGTTCTGCCCGAAAGTTTTCTCAAACACCTCTCCAAAGTTATAACTTCTTCTGCTCCTACACATGTTTCTTTGTAATTTCTCCCAATTATGGGTACATATTTTGACTGATAATTGGACGCCGTTCATTGTTAAACTGTATTCAGGTCAAAAAAGACGTGGCTAGGGATGGAGAACCAACGGCGGTAAAGAGGCGAATGAAAAGAGAGGGTCAGTTAATGTGTTTAACTCATATTTTCATTTGTAATTATATGAGCTATGTTTCTGCTTGCAATGTTTCAACTTGCACTGAGGAGTACGCATTAGTAAAACACTTTAGTAAGACAAAAGCCAAGACAACGAACCGAAAGGGTTGGAGGAGAAGCAGTATCCAAACCACGATCTCAGAAGCCGGTTGTGCAGAAACCCGAAAGGCAACCTGCAGAGGAGAAATCTTCCCAAGTAAATAGCGGTTAGTTCATTTGTAGTTTATCCGGTAGTTACTTATTCCAACTTGTTTCTGCTAACAGCTTGAAACGGAGAAGTTTCGCCTACCATAGCCAACTTATGGACAGAAATATCTTTTTAAGAAACGCGGGTGCATCGTGTGTAGTGGTTTTCAACTATGAACCTGTAGTCGCTTAGTGACTCTCTACTAATAGGGCGAAACTGTCGAGCACTCCCGAAGTAATGAAAGTTTGCAAAGTTTATTGAACCAGTTTTCTGGACTTACTGAACTGTGTCAGGAAATTGAAACATTGCCCCTGTGCGTCTTACGGCTCACAAACGGGAAAAACGCTATTATAGACCCGGGTAGTACAATGCGCGGAGACTTTCCACGCATCACTGAATCGCGGGATCTGTTATAATAGGTGCCTGATATGGGGCAAATTAATATGCTTTGGAAAAATTAATTTTGATGTGGGTGGTATTGTTATCGGAAGCGGTCGCATGAAATCAATTGCGGTTATTACATTAGGAATAACAAGACCATCTAACTGCGTTGGATGAGAAAAACTTGAATAGTCCTATATACTCTCAAAACAGGTGACATGCTTCGACTTTGTAAATGCTTCTCTGGAACTTATATTGCGAATGTAATAAATTGAACTGCTAGGGCATCTGCGGTGGAGCAGTGGCCGAAAACGAAGAAGTGATTTCAGAATTGAGTACAAACTAGTTGAGCAGTCCAGTACAATGCTCTAGGGTAAAGTAAATCTTTTGGAACTGTCTGGTATGAAATATTGATTCACTGGATTTCCTATAACACCACATCGCACTCCATGGTTCATAATGAACGCCGTTTACTCGTAATACTTGATCCCGGAAGTTATCTTAGGCATGGCTGATGTATGCTTGGACCTTAGGAGATTGTACATCAACGAGGCCTGAAAATTCACAAAAAAAAACGTATAAATTGGCATGCTTTGATGATAAGGCGATTAGCTTGTAGGGCATGTACCCAGCTGTGATAGGCCAACACTATTCAGCAGTTATCTGCATATCACTTTTACCCATTTTCATACAGGGGGCGGAGGGCAAAAAAGGTCACTTCGACCAACGACGGTACCCAAGATGTTCCTCTACAAGCAGGAGCTGGCTCTAGCCCATCACCTTCATGTACACCAAAATATGAAGTCATCTTCCAGCCGCATTCGATGAGAATTCAATACAGTGTAATTTATAGCACCTTGAAAGTCAATGAAGAAAAGTGACTTTTTTGCCCCCCCCCCTGTATACTGACACAAATGGCCGTTATATTTGCAAGTGAGCAAAGAGGGGGTGATTTTTGAGCTTGTAACTTCTGATTATTGCAGATGAAAGGGTGACGAGCGAAAGACGG